GCACTAATGGAGAACAGCAGCCTCATTAGCATTAATATTTACATTGCAGCCATGCGCAGGGGCCCAAATTAGGGTAAGAGTTGTCTTGTGTTTGGTGCTACTGGAGAGGAAGGTGCAAGCCCTGCTCTCATGAACTGCCCAGCACTCAGCTAGTCCTCTGTTGATATCCTGTCCCTTTCTCCCATGAAGGGGTGATCATTTCCATTTGTCACCTCCCTACCAGACTTGCGCACCCTGATCCTTTTGCATTTTTAAAATCATTGAGAGTTTTACAGTTGTGGATATAAGACAAGGCCCTGTATGTTCCCTGTAGCCAACTTTTGTGTGGCAGTGGCCAGCAGCAGGGCAAAGAGGCTACAGCTGAATAAGTTTGCAAGATGCAAAGATCAAATGTCTTTAGATAAAAATCAGTCAGGGATGCTGATAAATAGGTACAGCAGTCTCTTCTCCCATCTCTGGAAATAACTCTCATAAGAGAAAAGAAAGTCCTCTGCATTTCATAAAAATCATTTAGTGTTGTAGAGGGACATAATTTTCCCTTTCAGAACAAGCCTGGGCTCTGCTTTCCAAGTTCAGGATGGATGTCTGTGACACGGAGTGATCCATTGCAAGCACTGGCCCTGTTTGTAAAGTCTTTAATTCTTTCCTATTAATCTGCAGTTTTCCTATATTTAGTCGTTTCAGGAGAGCACAAAGGAACCAGAGGGCTAAGAGGTTTGCAAATTACTGGGAAGCAAACACTCAAGATACCTAAACACAGGTATCTCAGTGCCATTCTAAACATCTCAGGTTATCCTTTTAGTCTCCAGCTACTGCTTCAGAATGGTGTAGCTAAGCTGGGGTATCTAAAATACCACAAGAGATCTGTGTTCAGGCATCTGTATCACTCCTGGATTTCCACAGAACTCCTTTTAAATAAGAGGGGCGTTTAGGATAGAAATTTAAAGTGTACTTTCATTCGCTAGTGGTGACTGGAATACACTATGTCTGCTGCCCATTACTGCCCTATGGAAGGAAACTGTCAAACAGAACAAAGTTTGCCTTTAAAATACACCTCTCCAGAAGTACTAATATAGAACCAGACCAGTGAAGAAGCAGCACTGGGTTATTCTGAAATGGTCTCTTACCTTACGTGATAACGGTAAGGAGTTCTGTAAAACTTGACGTGCAACATCTTCATCCAGTCCATCTGTGTAAGCAGGAAATTTCATTGCCGTACCCATGGCTGGTGTAGGGGAGAGAAGGACCACAAACCCCAGTAGACCAGATGGAGAGGGGAAGGAAGACTTGAGAGGCAGCCAGCAGAGTTGCAAGGCACAGCTCTGCTGGGGCCATGGGCTGCTTGCCCTCCTTCTGCCACAGCCCAGCCCTTGCGCCTCTCCCTGGCAGGTGGGAATGAGGCCAGGGCAGACGGCCACAGAGACACCGGCACACAACCGCCCCGGGCTGGGAAGGGCAGAAAGGGGACACACAAAGGCCTCCTGGAGGCTTGCAATGCGCTAAGTCTCTCTCTATGTTTGGCATGTGCAAAATGAAGTTTTTAGAGCCTTTCTCTTTGAGGATTTATGGGCAAAGTGACAGATCTTCCTCCAGTCTTACTCACTGAAATGGATGAACAGCTTTAGATGAAACTTTCAACAACTAATGACAGCAAAGTTAGCCAGAGGCAAAAACCTGGAGTGAAGAAGTTCAGCCTAAATGATTAAATTTGGCAAAGCTGTAAGACAGTGAAAGAGAGAATCTTAAAAGGGGAAGTTTTGGATGACCTTAATGCTATGCACTGCAGCTTGTGGTGTCTGTAATAGGTTACTTCCAGAGCATCTGAGTGTCTTCCAGTAGTGCATTAAGCAATGTAACTAACATCTGTCACGAGGTTCATTTTCCCTCTCATCTCCTCCCTGGAGGGAAATTCTCTCATTTCTTAACCTCTGCTGGACCCCCAACTCAATAATGTTCATTACCTCAAGAGAAAAAGGAAAAGTCTATCAAAAAAAAAAAAAGAGAGAGAGAAAAAAGAGATAATAGATCTAAGATTCAGGCTGCTTTGGTGACATTTTTAAAGTCTTTTTTGCCAAGAAAAACAGTAATTTCTTTAAATTTTTTTACATGATATTTAAGGATTGAAAAGGAAAGACAAAATTACTGAGCTATTTTTCCTTCACCCACGATCATGAAGCAATTTATCAGCAAAATGGAACAAGAACATCTGACTGGGATTATTTATTATACAGTAAGGCATTTATTTTTTGTTCACTTCACCAGGAACAGTGTCCCTGTTATGGCTAGTTAGCCATCTGTGTCCTAAGAGCTTTCAGAGAAGGATTAAACTGTCATTTGTTTTATTTCCTTTCATGAAATAACTACCCTAACAGGGCTGAGGCAAGACTTGAATATTGCCAGACTTGCTACCTTAAGGTGGCATGAAAAAGAGTAACTGGATCTTCCCTGGAGCTAAAGCAAAGCAACGAAAAGTTTTGTCCTTTTTCCTCCTTACACAGTAACGCGCAGTATCGCTACTGAAGCACTCCTCCTGGAAACTGCACAGATAAGGCCATCTCTACGCCATGCTGAGGCAGAACTGGAATTATCTGTAGATTTATTTTTTTTTAATATCTGATTCATCACTACATCTAGCCAGTATGGTTTAGGTTTAAGCACTGAGAGAATCCACAGCTAATCAGGGCTGGAGGCAGGAGGCTGACAAAAATACAGAGAGAAGGAAGAGGTATGCCATGGCCTCCAGGTAGAAAGGGTTTACCAGCCCTCACCCATCTACTCGCAACCCCACATGCAGAAGGCCGGCACCGTTCTAGCGAGGATGACTGCGGTGTGTGGCTTCTCTTCCCCCATCTACAACTCCATGAGTGGGCCTAAAAACTTCTAGCACTTCTTCCCTGGAACGAATGAGCAAAATAAGCTGTCTGATTCAGAGAAAGATAATCTGTGCCCTCAGTAAGAGCAAACATGTGGGAAAACTATTTGCTAGAAGAATGTACCTTGCAGCTATTGCCAAAGGTTTTGATGGGTGTATCTGTGCTTTGGATAGCTTTATGGCTGCGCAGTGGAAATTGCTCATAATGAATGATAACATCTACATTTCACTAACACCTTTCGTCCAGAAATCAAAAGCACTTCTCAAAGAAAGGGCCAGATTTTGAGAAAAGCTTTGAGCTTTCTTTGTCCACAGAACTCTAAAATAGGCAAAGTTGGTTTATTTCATTAGGGAAACAAGACAATTTCTAGTATTCTTATGACATTTAGTCAGGGGAAGCTGAGAGAACATGAAATCACTTTCTGAAAAGCAGCTGGCTTAACACAGGCAGGGACAATGTCAGAATTTGATTTCTTCTGGTGACTTACGCAGCAGTGAGTCACCTCAGTCTGCTTCTCTCCCATCCCTCTGTGCTACTGGGAATCTGCTAAGACACACCTGTGGGAGGTTTGGGCTTTTGAATCTGTCTTAAGTGTCCCAACAGATCGCTAACTTGCAGAAAATTTCTTCAGGTCCTTAACCTAAGTTTTCTTGGGAGAATCACTGCAAGTATCTCCCTTCAGAAGCCTACTATAGAACATGTCTAAAAGAGGTTTCCCCTGCAACCCTTGAAAACAGAACGTTCTCCCAAAGATTCAGATTTTTACATTTAAAATCCTCATGTTTAGGCTGAAGTTACCAGCTAATAACAACAATCACGTCATTAAGTCTGGATGAAAGGTTTTGATCATGGGGAAAGTACATTCCAATACAGTTCAAAATAAAAATCTCAAAGGTTTGAGTCCCTCCATCTCACATTCCACCTCTTCTTCCCCTCCCTGTGCTTCTGCAGAAACACAGGAAATACAGAGCTGAAAACAGCAAGTGAGAAAAAATATTTTTCTCTTCAAAATGTAAGCAAAACAGTAACAAATTTCAATTATAATAAGAAACTTATTTTCTGCACAAAATACAATTTGCTCTTTTCAACAGACTCCAGCTGTCATAGGCCGAGAGTAAAGGTATAACACATGAAGGCAAGTATGGCTTATATTTTAGGAATTGCTATTATTTTTATGGATTGCATTGGTGAGAAATACATTTGTACACTCTGAACTGCCAGTAACGTTTTTGTTGTGGGATATACTTTGAATAATTCCTTTGCAAAAAGCATGGCCATATATTCGTTAGAAATAGAAAGTTGTTCTGGAAGACCCAAGCTTCTACCATGAATGGTATGTCAATAAATAAGAGTGGTATAAATTCAACATACTGATTCTCCAATTCATCATCCTCTAAACTAAAATATATCATTCCTCTCTAATTTCAATTCCCAGCCATGCCGTCCTCCTAATCTTAATTATAAATGGTCTGCCACTTATCAAATCATTCTCTGTGTACTGCACAATCCTCACCCTTAATTGCACAAATATTTTATTTTTGGAACAACACAGCTCAGCAACGAGCTTCATTTTTCTTTTCATGACTCGATCTCTATTAAAGTGGAGCGCTTATAAAAGCCCTGGGTGCATGGAGAGAAAATTAGTTGCTCCTCCGTGGCTAACAGTTTTTAGCTCATCACAATGCAGCCCCACATCACTGCAAGCAGCGCGGTGATTAAAACTGCGCCTGCAACAAAGCAACATTGTACACAGCGATGACGCGCTCCAGTCAAAAACGTCTCCCGCCTTGTTATGATTGGTATTCCCCAGATGTTTGACTTTGAGCTCCAGTTTGGCAGGCGAGGCTTTGTGGCTGCAATTCAAGTCCCAAGCTTGAGCAGCTCCAGTGTTTATTCTCATAATTTACACTTTGTGATGGCTTATGGACAGTTATGTACTTGGTTTCATAGCCACCACTTCAAACCAAGGGCCTGATCCCGCTCTTATGCAGCTAGTGGCAAATGCTTCCCGATTCCAGCACTGGCAGGAGGCCCCGGATGACTAAACTGTCTCTCAAAGAAAACAAGCCAATATAAAACAACAATTTGGTTTAAAAACAATTAAAAAAAGCCTGAAATCTTACTTACTAGGAAGTCTTCTTCACAGTACACCTTGCCATTGACGTTGTAGAACGCTTTTCCTCGTAGTCTTCTCCCTGTAAACAATACAGTACCGTCAGAATTTTGTGCTCCATCCCCAAACCCAGGCATTGTGGATGCAGAGCGAAAAGCACACCCTGCTGCGCCTGTCTGCATGGCCAGTTCCCGGCCCCTCGCGTCCCCGAAGGATCCATCCAGAGGCACGGGTCAGGGCTAGGCTGTTGGCTCCATCCTGCCTTAACAAATTCCTGATCAACTAAATGTTACTTCTAAGCCCAGCTTACGGAACCCAGTTGTTATCAGTGCCTGGAAATTTCGAAATCTAAACCCAAAAATTATTATTCTGGGGGGAAAGACTCATTTGTAAATTGAGACAATCTTCTTTGCAGGTGAAATCATAGCAAGCGCACATCCACTGCAATCAACGTCAGCGATGGGTTTGTCTCTGAAGGACCAAACAAGGCCTACTGCATATGGATGTTCCTGTCAGCTTTAAAAACATTAATACATTAATCAACGCCCCAGGAGCGACACCCACAGCCCCCTGCAATACTGAAGCAGTGCAAGGCACACGTGACAGAAGGAAAGGCAGAAAAATCACACTGAAAACAAGAGATTTCATTTTCAAAGTCTGAACATTTGCCATTTCATTAGCATTTGCAGAACTCTATTAACAAAGCCTATGACCATCATTAATGGATGGCTCCCTTTACTCCAGAGTCCCAACAAAAAGGATTAAAAGCAGGAATTCAGAAACCACAGAGCCCAACCAGTTTTTAGATACAGCAGATCAGATCTGTCTTACTCTAGAGCTGTTCCATTGAAAGCAACGCTGTTTTATCAGCGTAAAACCAAAGAGGGAGAAGGGAAACCGCACTCATCCTGACTCACCTGATTTCCACTCTGTGCCAGAGTCCCACTGGCCAAAGCTCGGAAACGTGTGGGTGCTCTCAAGCCGTTTGCAGCCTTGGCAAGCAGGTGGCACGGTGCCTGCTACGGGCTGCATACCAGCTGCCGTTAGGAGACAAGGAGCAAGGAGGAGGGCAAGAGGCTCTGTATTTACAGGTCAACAGACCACCCCTCCCAGGTGACTGCTGAAGCTTTTACTCCACAGAATAAGCCTGGACATCTCCTATCAAGGCAGAGCAGTAGTTCCACCATAAACACCGCTGATGTCTGCGGGGGGTTTGACTCCGAGGGCCGGTGAGCTGAGCCAGCTGGCCAAGCACGGAGGGGCAGGAGCACTCTCCACGGCTTCCATAAACAACATTGAGGAAAATATGATTAATTTTCAGTGCTTGAAAGTGTCTTTTACACATTGCCACTGTGATCTGATCCTGGGAAACAGTGTGTGGCACAAAGAAGTTGGGATCTGGGCTGATGCTTTTGGGAAATCACATGCTGCATGTGGTCGTCTGGCGGTTTTACTGTCGTGGCCGAGGGAAATGCTTCTTTTGTGTGCACATTCTTGGGCTGTCGATCTCACAGGCTGCTGTCTCCATACTGCTAGTAGGTGGAGTCAGCTCTTGTTTGTCTTTCTAGCTGCCCGATAGCTCTGGTGGGGACCAGGAGCCTGGTGGCACGGGCAATGCACTGAGACTGTCCCATCTCCTCTGAAACTCTTGGGTAAAACTGGTCCATCCTGCACATCACCAAAACAAGGCACAGGGCTGCAACAGCAATAGGGGGTCACGGGGCCTCTCTCAACTGCTGCAGTAGCAACCACCTCAAGATCTTCCCTCCTGTTTATCTAAGCTGCTTTAAACCTCTCCAGGGAAAGGTAAAGTAAAGGTAAACGGAAGGGAGGGAAGAAAAGGAAAGAGGCCAGAATGGCTTTTTAAAGGACACGTTGGCTCTGCCACACCCAGCCTTAACACAAGTCTTGTCTTCAGATGGTGGAAACGAAGTGGCTGCACCCAGAACAGGGACTTGCCTTGGACGTGTTGATGCAGCACTTCCACCTTGCTCGCCCACACTGTCGGGGCATATGTTTCAGGTGGAGAAGCGCTGGCCATCACCCTTGCCACACACGCATTATGGTTAGAAGCAGCAGAGATAGTTTGGGACAAATCCTGAACTCCATTGCTGGTAGGATCTCTGCAGGAAAGGAACACCCTAATTTGGGGAGGCATCGGCATCTCTTGTGGCACTGCAGAAGGTGCACGAGGACTCATACATCCCACTTTGTATCTCAGTGGCAGCGTTCAGGCTGACAGGAACACCCCAAATTCTGCTCCTGTTGTTTCCTTAGCACAGCATCACTGGCAGAAGCCAACAGGGTCAGAGACTTCCCAGACTGGGAAGGAGCCTACGACCCAAAGCAAAACCGATGTTTTGGACTGGCTCTCAAAGACACTTATATTATCACATGTGTTTGGCAGCTGATTGCCCTGCAACATGAAACAACCTCACCCCAGCGCAGCAAAGCTGTGAGCCTTCATCTCAGCCACTGCACCACCTGGGAGCCCCTGCTCACTGCTCACGCCCCATTTGCAAGCCCCCCTGCCTG